TATATATATAATATATTACATATATTATAATTATATATGTATATAGATATGTAATTTATATTTTGCATTTAATGCAGGAATGTAAAGAAAAATTATTAGTGTATACCGATAATTGCAACGATAATTGTAACGGCCGATATATTATTAATCTTATTCAAATAATTGCATTAAATTATTGCATAAAAGTAGAATTTAAAATATTACATTTGCGAAAAGAGAATATGGGCAATTCAAATTCGTCGCGATTTTTATATTTACACCGTTATTACACAGTAATTGAAAGTGACCGTGTAAATCAAGAAATATTTGCATCGACGAGATTTATGTACACTTTATATCATTAGGCTACACAACGAATTCAAAAGCACAATCGATATTTCCACAAAAGAACTTTAAATTATTTTGTTCAAGTAAGCTTCACTCATGCGCTATACAAGATACGTCTTAACACTTTATATTTAACATTTTTGGTTGCATAATGATAATTCCTTGATTGTTTTTCGAATATTTTCTTTTCACACAAACTCCTTGTAATAAATTATATTTGGCGAAATATTTTTATATCTCAAAACTAAAATAGATTACATGCTTCATCTCGATGTAATAGGAGAGTCTTGCTTGAAATTTTCAAGTTCAATTTTTTTCACGGAAACAAACGGGTTAAACCCTTTTTTCTTCGCATTGCTGTCTCTATTAATCGCCGATAAATTTTTATTATTATGCTTGTCTTTATTATGCTGCTGTTTATTCTGACTATCGGATATATCCTCGTATTTTATTCTTTTTACTTTCCTTTTGTGTGAATTGTGAATTAACTTATGGTTTATTTTATTTTCTAAAAGTTCCAATTTTTTTTGCTTTTTCGAATGTACATCTGTTTTATTAAGACTACTTATCGCATGTGTTTGGATGTGATTTTTGAAAGCAGCAAGTGACGTGCAAGTATAGTTGCACTTATCACATGCAAGTTCTTTCTGATCGGTGTGTTGATTAGTTATGTGTTTTTTCATATCGTAATTGTTACTGAAGGATTCATCACAAAAATTACAGAAGAAAAGTTTCTCGCCCTTGTGCTTTGCGATATGAACCTTGAAATACCAATCAGTCGTGATATTTTTCGAGCAGTAGACGCAGAAAAAATTCTTCTTTTTTTTCTTTAATTTCGGTGATTTGTGTACTTTTGGTATTGGAACGTGCGTAAGAGACTTTGGAGCATTTACTTGCACAGTGGCGGTACTGACAGCTGCAACAGTAGGTTGAACAGACGGTGAATTCGGAGTGGTCACCGGCGTAACATTTTCTGCAACAATGCAGAACTTAGGGATGCCTTGCGTGCGATGTAACAACGACGGCGGGCTTATCAAATTGGCTATAGGTACTACGCGTATCGGCGTAAGGAACGTTTTAGGCTGAATTGCCGTAGTCGTTGCAATGTGTGATGATGATACACTTAAGTTGTTTAACGGCTGAACAGACGTAGTTTGAGGTGGAACTGCGAGACGAATACATGGTTTGTTCGGAGGTACAATCGAAGTAGATACAGAAGTGGTAACATTGGGAGCCGAAATCTGAGTTATAGCTGGAACCGGAGTTGGAGCTAGAGTTAGAGTTAACGGAACTAAAGTTGAAGCTGAAGCTGAAGCTGAATTTGAAGCTAGAGCTAGAGTTAGAGTTGGAACTGAAGTTGGAGTTGGAACTGTAGCCGATGCTGAAGTTGGAACTAGAGTTAGAGTTAGAACTGGAGTTGAAGTTGAAACTGGAACTTGAGTTTGAGCTTGAGCTGGAATCGTAACAGAAGTAGATTCCAAATGGGAATTTTGTTGTAAATTTGAAAATCTTACTTGACCTATCGATTTTATGTTGTTTTCTGAACATGACGTGTTGTTGGAAAAAATTACGGTGTTTTGTGATGAAACCGTGATAGACTCACTTCCGAAGGTATTCGTAGATTTAGTTATCTGCGAATTATTTATGATAGGTTGAGCATTAGTGCTGATTAATTGAGTGCTAGGTAGCAAAGTCATGCTGACACTTGGTTGACTAGATGCTTTTTGCGGAATAATTATCAACTCCTCATTTTTCCAAAGTGTCTCCATCACTTTGTTGGGATCTGAATAATCGCGTTTCTTCATCTTCGCAATTTCTAAAATCTGCAACTCTCGCATGCGCATCCTCTCCTTCATTAAATGCAATCTGTCTACATCGTTATGAATGTACACTTTCTTTCTTTTACAATTCCTGTGATGTATCCGAGATATCCATTTCTTAAATGTTCTTCCACAAATATCACACATATATGAACTGTCACATCTATATAATTTTATTAATGCCCGACGGCAACGATTATGATCGATGCTTAATGCATCGCAATATTTATTCCTACAGTGTTTTTCAACCGGTGCATTTATCTCATCTTCTTCTATGCTCAACGCTAACATTGGTGACACACAATCTTTATCCACATACTGCTGTACTGTCACGTCACAAATAATATTTTCGCATGGCTGATAATGACCACATGATTTCTTTTCAATAGGTAATAAAGCAATTTCCGACTTTTTGTGCTTTATTTTTGAAGGTAGAAGATTGGCATCTTCTTTTTCTTCATCTACTGTTCCGACAGGGAATATCGATATTTCAGATGCTGTTGTACGGTTTGATACTGAATTCATACCATTCTTTTTATGCCAAAATGAGTTGTCGGATTCAAATGGTGTAAAAGGGATCGTCTTAATAATAAGGTCCGGTTGATTAAACAGCCGTTTCACAGAATCTGATTGTAATACCTGCAAATAACAAAGCCCATATGAGTCTCAATTAGTATTGTAAATTTTTATATAATATATATACACATAACTCACACACACACACACACAATAATTAAACACATTACTGATTTTGCATCGTACATTTTCAATATGTTAGCGGAAGTACTACGAGATGAGAGGGAAATTCTAATTTTTAATTCTATATATTTTCTTTGTTTTTGTATTCATCTCCAACATTGATAATGATCTGATAGGGATCGTTTGTATTGTTTATTGCCGGCAGTTATTAAAGTTTATTGTGTTATGTTTATGTTTATTTTATTAATTCAAACAGTGTTGATTGACCTACGGCTCGTAGCCCTATTTCTTTTTGATATTTTTAATTTATTGACCCTTATTAGCAGTACATATTTTTAATTAAACAATTACTTTTTGCTACAAACATTATTATCTAACATAGCAATCATATTATTTTTTCAATTGCATAATAGTCAAGTAATACAACTTACTTCAGATAAGGTGGGTTTTATCATATTGTTCCGACATACGTTGGTCATTATGTCTGTGGACGCGAGCTTGGAGAGTGACGAATATGCCAGTTTCACCATGTCAACAGGTATGAACAGTCAATGCAGGATCTTCTATAATTCAAAAAATGGCCTGGAAACGCGGCTTTGATCGCGGTCGAACGGATGAATTTTCATGATTGCGGAATACGAGGCTTTGTCCGTTCATTCACCGCAAGGTCACATAAACACAATGTGAGGCGAATAAATCGGAATCAACTCGGTTGGAGAGGGTACAATTTCTAGGTTAGTCAGTTAATTCGGGCAATCAAATCCCGACACTTAATCGACGCCGTGTCCACCACGAACGCGAAGTTTTTGCGGGTCTACTCCTCCTCCCGTTCCGAACTTTTTTGAAAAGTATACTTACGAGACGGATGAGACTCGTCACGACCGATTCAAAGTCAGCGTCATAATTCGCGGCTTCGATTGAACGGCGGTAATCCGCGTAAGCGTAGCGAATGTAGCGATTCGCAACCCCGCTCATCGGCGGCAGTTGGCAGTGTCGGCGGTCGGCACCCGTTTCCCCTTTTCTTTTCTCTCCCCCCAAAAACTGATTTTTTTTTCACAGAAACGCTCTCGCGCGCGCGCGCTTTGCGTCCATTCAGTCCATTGAATTCGTCCGCGCGAGCGCGAACGGACGGAGCGCGCGGTATACGATTTCCCTTCATATTAAGGATAGTATCCGCCGCGTGAACCATGATCTCCATTCCCTAATCTCACTCGGCCGCAGCTGACGCTTATGCTCCTCGCAGATTTTGATGAAGTTGATCGCGTTGACGACTTGACGTCGATCGACTTGACGACGATCGACTTGACGACTTGACGTCGCGATCAGCGCTTGCGTCGCACTTTCGTTTTTGCTCGTTTTTTGCATGCACGTAACAGATCTTCGACCTAACTATTACGTCAAATTGCGTCAAATCGCGTTATGCTTTACGTCATTGCCTTATGTTGCGTCATAACGTCCGTTACGTCTTGCTGCGTGAATATGTCAATTTGTCACACGCTTTATATATGCATGCGCTTGTACTTTTGTATTTATAAGTATATAAGTCTTGCACGTTCCCTTCCGCTTCTTGATTCCTTACCCACAATAAGTCTGAGGAACTGAAAATGATTTAATTTTCTTTCTCTTTCTCGGAAAAAGAGTTACAAAACGAAATATAATTATATGAATTTTGAAGCTTCGTGATTCTTTCTTGCTTTTACTCTTGTATATGATGCTCTCTTATTCGTAACAGTAACATCCCAGACAGCACACAATATTTATAAGATATTTACAAAATATTTATAAATATAAGATTTATTTTAAATATTTTGTAAATATTTTTTGTAGTCTTAGAGTACACAGATTATAAACATTTATTACAAATATTATAAAATATTTATTGTAAATGTTATAGTAAATGCTATGAAAATACTTAATGAGACATTATAATCCAAGTAAAAAATACTTATTAGAAATTGGGGGGGGGGGGATTATATTACTTCAATGTTATAATTATTGTTGAATAAGAAATTTCTTACTCAATAATGAAACTGTGTACAACATACGTTATATTAATTTATATTGTTGAGTGGAAAATTATAATGTCGATGTAATGTTACTCCTATTCAAGTAAACATACAAAGTCAACAAAAAAATCAAACTACTATTTTGATTCTTAACGTCAATAAATTATATAACCAATAACATTTTAACTTTCAAGATGCCAAATTAAAATCATTTTGACTTTCTCTTGACTTTTGACATGTTCCTTGGGTCAGTGTATAAGTTACGTATAAATAGCACAATAGAGCGAATATCAATGGCTGTTTTCCATTTGGTGACATAAATCAACACTAGCACTGTTCTGTCTTCGTTACTCATGGAATATAAAGGAAGATAGAACGACGATGTATCGACTTGTGTCACTAAATGAAAAACGCAGTGTATAAAGGCTGTGTGGCTCAGTGTCGTAATTAATGGCAGAGTGGCTGCTTATTTCTGACAATGCCAGGAGCGTCCTGATGTTTTGCTCGTGTTGTCACTTACACAAGTACAATACAGAAGTCATAATAATATAATTATAAGGAACCGGATAGGTATAATTATATAAAATCGTATATATATATATATAATTATATATAATTTTATATAAATTTTTATGTAACTATAAAACCTTTTTTTCCCAGAGACATCATCATGACCTTATTTTTTGTCTTAAAAATAAATTAAGTTTATTTTTTTGATGATTATATGATTTTATATAATTATACCTTATAAAAATAAACTTAGTTTATTTTTAAGTGACAAATGGCGTCATGATGTCCTATGATGTTATTATGACTGAATTATGACTCTACACTGAAAAAAATGCATGTAATTTCCATGTAAAATTACATGCATTTTTTTCAGTGTATATTCTACCTGCACTGAAAAAAATGCGTGTAATTTTACATGAAAATTACATATCTATGACTGGAAAATTATCTAAATTACTTAAATATGATTGGAAATTTACAATTTCCAGCAAATTTCTAATATTTAGGTAATTTCCATGTAAAATTACATGCATTTTTTTTATATTGAGTGTGGACTATCTGTGCCGGAGTTGCTCAATCTTATATGTATATTTCTCCTTTTATATGAGCGATTCAATTAATTTCTACCACAACGCAGAAATGCAGAGGGTGGTTCAGGAAAATGTTTACTTGGAATAAAGACTTTATTGTAACATCGTTAAGAGTTTTAATGTACACAATTATCGTAAATCGATGGCTAATTAATTATTGTAGTGCTTATCTCAGCAGTGTTGTAGATAGGATGCTACTTATCTTTGGTACCGAATGTACAGTATGTATTGTAATGATGCCTGTTGTTCTTTTTATTAGACGAAGACGAAGTGTTGTGACTTCGTAGACTGCATTATACTTGAGCCAATTCATCGAATATTTGTATTATACGGTCGCAATTGGTACAACCATTCGTTGCATTAGTATTCAATGGCCGCGTTTAGCAGAGTATTTATTTTGTAACTGTTGGAAGTTTTTTTTTTACCGAGTTAGGACTCCTCTAAATCTAAAAGTTTAATTTCCCATCATCAGCATAAAGAAAACTTCCAACAATTGAAAAATAAATATTCTTGTGGCCAATATCTTTTTCTTTTCAACACATTTCAGTGGTATTTAACATTTCTTTTACTTTCTTTTTTTTTTAATACTCTTACAAATAATACTTATTCATTAATAACGAGCAAGAGTTGCTGAAGCAAGCCTCCTCGTACACCGTACACTAAATGAACATCTGATTGTCCTCGTATCGAAGCAACGCACACGACGTCTCGCACGTAAAGAAACAAGCGGAGAAAGCAATGCACAATACGCATAGTAAATGGTCAAAAAGCTTTATTGAACCTCTTTATTGAAACTTTCTGATGGGATGATTTCTGGACGCTCCGCAAGTAGGAACTATTACAAAATGGATAACGCTACAAATCAAAGTATCGACTGGATTCGTATAGGGGAATTCGCTGCGCGGAAGAGGAAAAAAAGGAAACAATAAATGCACAAACGTAATTCGACTCTAAGACAGACTTTATCAGTTCAATAAAACCTTTCCTTAACGTGCTTAACGCTAAACTCGACGTTCAAAAAGCTGCTTTCCTCTTTCTCGCGATCATACGTATAATGCGCGTGAGTAACTTACGAATGTAACGAATGTAACTTATTCTTGGCGCGAAGATACATCGTACAAAACTTCTACTATATGCCTACGTCTTACGAACATATATTTACACGGGTATCAGTCAAATAAATAGTTTTAGTCTTTGCATCTAGAGCTGTCCTAGACGAAGCAAGCCTCTGATTTATGCAAGGGATAATAAGAAAATAAAGGTTGCGTGATGTTGCATGATCGAGGCGAAATATTTTATATTTCGGCCTTGCCTTTTGCCGTCGAGGAGATATCACCTTAATTCGATTCGCAGTGTTATGTTTACTAGCATGCGCTAACACCTAGACTCTCCTAACTAATAGCATTTCCATTTTGGCTCCCATGGGATTTCGAAGGTACAATCTTGTAACTTGATCTCTCATAAATATTTAATCTTTGGAAAGAAAAGAGACCTTCCTCCCCTATTAACGGAGCTACGTCGGATATGACTGTGATTTCCGATGGCTTTTTAGAAAACTTAACGGCGCGTTTTTTGTCAGTACGATTTATGTAATATGATATAAAATAATTTGGTCGCGTCTAAAATCTGCTAGCCATAACAATGTGGCGTAATAGTGTTTCTGTGCATAATATTTCTTTATACATATACATATATCACAGAGGTCAATTAATTCCGTACACGCCCATTCTAGTTTCAAGCGATGGTTCCGAAAATAACTGTCGCTTACCTCGCAATGTCGCTTATAAAACGCTTAAGATAAATATTACGGTAATTATTGGCTTATATAGGTACGCTTGAACATCGGCAATGGATAGTCTCTACAAAAAATATGAGAATTTTTAAGTGTGGGCACTATTTACAATTTTTAATGTTGTCTCTTATGCAACGCAGCCGCATACAATCTATCTTTAATATTCCGACAAGAAATATATTTGCTTGTAAAATTAGCGTTTTATGGATCTTAGAGGAAAAGATCCTTGTACTATGTTTTTAACTTCCGTTTAAGATTTCTTAAATAAGAAGAGATATATCGCCCTCGCGCGTTATCTACGTTTATACTCGTGCACGCTTATGATGTACTCGTTTATCATGAACGCGTATACACGTTTATAATATACCACGCATTCTCCACCGAGAACGATTCAATGTGACGGACTAGAATGTTTCAAGTATAGATTTTCCTCTAACGCTTTTTCGATTCCGTCAAGCACGTCCGAGAATCGGAAAGGTCGAGCTACCACACTCATCCGGATGATCGCTCATTTTCTCAATCCGCCGCCGCCAACTTCCGTCGTTCGTGCCACCGATTTTTTACTATTCACACTCTGTATAGTCCTCGCGACACCAGAACTATTCTTATTAGTCTCGAACTTTTGCTGGAGTGATGCCACGTTAGATTTACCGCTCGCCACTCTTTGTAGTGGATTCGTCCTCGCTGTTGTACCTCCATCCCCGCTCTTGATTTCTGTTTTAGCAAACACCTTCGGTGTCAAATGCGATGGCTTAGTACCGCCATTATTTGCCTCTTTGACAGACGGCGATAGCGATTTAGCCACACTTGCGTTGCCAGTCGGAGACTTCTTCCTTTCCGAGAGACTGGCTGTTTTGGATGTAATGTTAAGTGGTTTCAACGGTGTTGTGGGCGTTTTCTGGCCATTCCTCGGCAGCGTGGAAGTCTTTTGAACGGTTTTAAGCGAGAGATTGAACTTGGGATTGCTACCCACAACATCCGGCGACTTTGTTCCACCCTGATTAGAATTCGAGCAACTCGAGACCAGATCCGGGCTATTGAACTTTCCCAGATTATCC